TAATTCCATTAAAAAATATCTGGATGAGCTGGATGAGATTGAAGTAAATGACGGCAAAACCGGCCTCACAAAAGAGGAAACGATTGTGATGAAAATGCTGGAAAATGAAAAACTTTAAATTTTAAATATTAAAAATCAAAGCTATGAAAATTGAGATTCAGGGAAACGAAATCAGTATCCTCAGCTTAGGAGCAACGCAAGAAGATCACGGTGTAGTAAAACGCGAAGTTAATTTTGAGATCAAAGGCACACCCTTTCAGAGATACATTATTTTGGGAATGAACGGAACCGGCGCAGATTATCACGATCCTCAGCATTTTTACAGGATGAATAAAGATCAGGTGGATGCAAGCCTTATTGAATATTTGTCTGAAAATCATCTCTACGAAACCGGGGAAGATAAAGTCATCTAAAGATAATATTCTGCTCAGATTATGAATTCTTCATGATCTTGTTGAGATATTGCTGCTTCATTGGTTCTTTGTTTTTCTTGCAGTACGCAGTATGATAGTGATGCCTGGAAATAAAGGAAACCTGGTTTTTATTCCACTCTTCCAGACTTAAATCCGGATTTAATGAATGTAATTCCTTAAAAAGTTTCTGAGAAAAAGCTTCTGCATTTTCGGTGCCCAGATATTCAAGGTCCGCATCGCAAATCACCCTTTGAAGCATGTTTTTGGGATGCTGCGGTGTTTTTGTCGCCATAATTAAATCCAGTATTTCATCAGTTTCCTCTTCGGAATATCCAAAAGTCCGGAGATTATTTTTTGCAACCTCACAACTTTCTTTTTCGTGGCCTTTATACTTGCATATATAACCGACATCGTGAAGCAGTGAAGCAGCGAAAAGCAGTCTTTTGTCCTTCTCTGTGAGTTTTTGTGCCTGCCCTATTTCAAGAGATTTTTCCGCGACGTACAGCGTATGTTCCCAATTATGATAAACGTAATTTTCGGGCAAAAGGGTGGTCAGAAGATTTTCTGTCCATATTTTTAAGGGAGTATCGGGTAGCATGGTTTTAGTTTTTTAGGTCATATTTCATTTATCAAACCGTCAATAACGTGAATGTCGAGGTCAGGAATGTGATCCTAAAATCTTTCAGCAATAAATACTGAAGTGATTGAAGGATAGGCTTTAAAATCTAAAGAAAAGTGATTGGAGAATTACCTCTTACGGTAATTAAGGAAGAAGGTCGATATTTTTTTCATAATGGTGTGTTTATTGTTCATTATCT